TCAGTGGAATGCCATCCACACTCCATTTATCAGTTATCATCAATAATGATTGCCAATATATCAGCATACAAAGAACAGTTTGTAGTGCTTGTAGGGCACATTATGAAAGATTCTGCAAGCCTCGATCCGCCCGCGTTCAGCGAACCCCTCCTTGTACTTCCTCCTTTCTTTTTGTGCCGTGCGTTGTGTCCAGTTTGCGCGGCATCAGCCGAAGGTCGGATACCTTCCACAAGTACCAGTTTGGTTTCACTCAGCACCTTTGTCTGCAGGTTCATTCACCTGATATTTTATCATGTGACGCAGCAGGGCTTTGCATCTTCTGATTTCGGGAAATAATGACTTGGCATGGTTTTCCCCCGTCGCACGCTCACGTTTGTTCAGTTCGTCCTTCCAATCTTTCCACGATTTGACCGTCAATCATTCATCGTATTGTTTCGGTTCAACCTCCTAGCGACGACGGAAAGGCAACTAAGTGGCTTCTTGTGCGTGGGTGACAGCGCAGCTAACTCGCTCTCGAAAATGACAAGGCGTTCACCTTAAGTGAAACAATTGTGAAACGTCGCTCGTAATACTTAGGACAAAATTTCGTGTAAACGAAATCAAAACCGAACGGTCAAACCACAGAGTTGGTGACGATCTTCGATAAAAATTCTTATTTTCGAGTGACACTGAAACTAAGTGACACAAACATAATGTTTCCCCAGGTTTGCCGAAAAACAATAAGAAAAACGTGATTACAAATAATTTTTCAGACGTGCATGACGGCGAGAACAAGCTGTGGCGTAAAAGTATGTGTAGTTAGGTTCGGACGTGCTTCTTTGCTTGTACGTACACGTCTGCTGTGTGCGATGCCAGTCTATCAATAGAGTTAACAGAAAAACACATGAATGTGGCTGGGAAAATGTAAAATGTAATCTTAAAGGCAAGTCAACAAATAACAACCCCTCAAACGCAGAAATTGACGACAGGCTAATCTAGCCTAGCCACAGTCGTATTTGCTGTCAACCCCTAAGTTTAACCACTTATATTGATAATATGGACAGACCTCTGCAACTTCTGCACAAGCAATTAAAACGTTATTCACTTCGGGAGTGCAGTTCTTGGATTATGACAGCTATGGCTTTAGCACCACCACCACTTCCTGTCGCCTATCAAGGGCAACTTTGGTAAACGACCTGAATGCATCCATTACCAACTGCGGCTTCCAAGTGGGATGGAGACTGACGTGAAGCGGCCAAGACAAAAGCGACGGGCTAAGATGTGGTGAGAGATGTGCTAGTACTGACCAAAAGAAGCCTGAAGTGTGCCTGCATTTGCCGGGATTACCTATTTGGGTTACTCTTCACTTCAGAACAACATTGATTCAAAACTAATCGAAATATCTATAAACAATTTTTAAAAAGTTTCTATTAAAAATAATCATACTTACGACTTTCTATTTTAAGAGTGCCAGGTAAATCAATGAAAGAGAATAATTAGAATGTGGCAGACGTTAGGCGTAGTGGGTCCTTTTGCAGGCTTTTACGGAAGCTGGATAAGGCTATAGAACTGCGCTTCGGAAGAAGAGAAGAAGCCAATTAGGACTACAAGGCCCCGCTCCACGTAGCACCTGCCCAATGGATTGCCACTCTTCGAGCGCCTGACTACAAAAACAAAACTATTCCTGGTATTAGGGAAATGGTGCTAAGTGGCATAGCACACCAATAAGTTCAACTAACTCACTGAAAACAATTAAATCATCCATGGCTCTGTCTAGATGACGAAGTTGTTGCAGGAGCACGCGTGGAAGAGTTCCATCCTAACCCTCGCGTGTCTGAGTGCAGCCGCATATGGCGCTCAACAGGACACGCACATTTGCCAATTTCCGGTCGAAATTATGATGGCAGTGAAGCGGCCCGGCACATTGGCCACAACAGCGACACAGCAAGTGTGTGTGTTGGGGGAGTGCGTATAGCAGTGCTACATCAGGGTTAAAGGAAGTGAGCGATTCATCTCCGCGGAAAATTTGAGCTATACTCGGATGCTGTCACCGGCGTGGCGAAAAAATACAAAATTACGGAATCAAGAACTGTGTATATGAAGAAAAAGTTCATGCATGAAAGTGAAGGTAGAAGACTATTACGACACACATAATAAAAATTGTAGACAACTGCAACAGTTGGTTTGTTTGGCGCTTGCAAAGGTGGCAAAACCTCAGCGGCGTTTTAACATTTGAGCAGTCAGCTACGATTAGATTTCTACTTCTTATCGCCGTAGATATAATAATGAACCAAAAAAAATGCAATGACGTCGTAGAGTCCACACAAACCAAATGAAGACAACTAATAACATCCGAATGGGGGGGCACAACACACTTCGTAATAACATGTCACAACGACAGAGCCAACTGATATCTATAGGCGCGGAGTTGCACCGGCGAGCGGTGCTCACTGCATCTTTGGCACGTGAGCTCGCGCTGGGCATGGAGTAGCGAGGCGCTCGAGCTGGACGGGGTGTCATTGTGAAACAGACCCAGTAGCTCGCGTGCTCTGCCCCCCTCTCCCTCTCCCCTCTCTCTGTTCTTCTCATCACCTCACAGACGGTACGTGCTCTTGCTTATATAGAAGCAGTACATGGCAAATATCAACTAAGAAACAGTTATCGTGCAAGCATATTTCAAGTTTGGGCACTTGAATACGTTTTCCATTGGAAATTAACAGGCGCAGTGCCAAATCGATGCCAAAGATGTGATGGTTTGTTAAAGGCCGTACACGACAGTTTTTTTTTTTAAAGGAACAGATTTCGATTATGGGAGATTTTCACTCAATCAGAAATTGCCCGCGCGTTTATCGATGCAGCGATTTATTTAGCTTCTGTGCAATCAATCGTAGGTCCACGGTGAGTCGAACTTTTAGTTTTCACAGAGCGGGACTGATCGTGCTAATCTGACCAGCAGAGCGTCTAAAACGCCTTGAGGGGCGTAACAGGGATATCGGCTGAGGTCAGAACAAATTCGTCGCGCAGCGGCCTCGTCTCTAGGATAGGTAAGGCAGAATGGGGCGGAAGGAGGCACGGGCGGGAGGAGGGAAGGGCGGCTTCTTCCTTTGCTAATGTCGGTTAAGAAGAACGATCGAAGCCTGCACTGGAAATGCAAGTGTGAGAATGCCACACACTTGTACGTGTGTCAATGCCCATTTGGGCACTGAAGAGAGCAAAGGTGGGAATTTTCCTCTGACTCTTAAAATTCATACACTTGTGCCTTGTGCCTCCACGTCTATGAATAACTTTCAAACACCTACTATAAGTGTGGGAAATTCACACATTTGGGTAACCGATGTGTCCGCTGCTCTAAAGCACCTATGGGTTACGATTAGGTTCAATCGGACGTCACTCCTCCCTTTCTCTTACTTCATAAGAACCACTAGATCGACAAGGAAAAGAAGCTCAGATAACCCTTCTATTCCGACTATTTGTCAGTAATGCAAGACGTTAAAAATATGAGAACAGCAGGCAACTCACAGCCAAATGTGATTATCATACAGTCTTTCAATACTGCACTGAAAACAGCGTAATAACGCATGTTAGCACTCGACGATAACGCGGGGCACATTTCAGTTTTTGTGGAATATTTTCTAAACGAGCGCTGAAATTTAATATTTGAAAGCACCATTGAATTTCACGTAAAATTTCCGATCAAACGAGCCTACATGTGATAAGGTTCTGAACAAAGGTTCTCTAAGAACACGTCTAATTCCGTATTATTATTTGAACTCCGAACCCTATCACATGTAGGCTTGTTTGATCGAAAATTTCGCGGAAAATCCGATGGTGCTTTCGAAAACTAAATCTCAGAGCTCGTTTAGAAAATATTCCACATAAACTGAAATGTGCACCGCGTTATCATCTAGTGATAATAACATGCGTTATTACGCTGTATTCAGTGTGGGTGGGTGATCCGCACCGTGTTTTTTTTTGTTTTTTTTTGGCTTATATTGTACCGGATTTACGCGTGCGGGCGGGCTTGCCTATCGTCGCCCCCCAAGGCGCTTCACGGCCCCGTGCGAGTATGCAACCCGTCTGCACGCATGAATCCGGTACAGTATAAGCAGAAAAAAACCATGGCGCGGTTCACCCACCCTGTATGGTATGTTAAATAAAATGTCGACGCGACCCACAACGAGAAAATCCCAAGAACACGGACATCGACCCCAAACGCTAAAGTTATCAAATACCGAACATAAACAAATAATCTATAAGGCTACGAATCGCCAAAGGTTTGATAGAGCGCACTGTCACTCTGAGAAAAGGTGTGGCACAACAAACAGGCATAATACAAAAGTTCACTCAAGAGTGTTTGCTCTACTCTTGTTCTGTTATACACTATCAAGAACTATACTTTTTAATAGTTTTCATGAATTTTGTTGTGTGGAAGACCTCAAACGCACTGGCCCTTACATCCTCACATGAAGAGTACTCACCAGGCAGCTTGGTCTTGATTAGCATGGTTGCAGATGAAGGTAATTCACAATTTCACATCTAAATCGTTTACCAAGTAGTCCCTCTGTCACTACACTTATTCTTGACAATTCACGACATGTAGGAACGAGCGTGCGTTTTTTTAGATTTTATAGGAAAAGGCTCTCTTTACAGACAACTCAGCAGTTTATGGTAGACCCACAACTCTTTTTAAGCTTTAAAAATAATATCAACGCATTTATTAATGCCGGACAGTAGAAATAAAGTTACTAGGCACAGAAAAAGCTGATAGGTTGAGAAGAAAAAAGTTAAAATACCGAAAGGTTAAAAAGAAATTTCCCTAAACAAAAACATATATTTAACTATA